CAGCCCGGGCTGCTCGCGCTGGCACCGCTGCGCCCGCCTTGTGGTGCCGCAGCCCCGGTTTGCTCCTCTCCTCGCGGTGCCGCAGCCCCGGTTTGCTCCTCTCCCCACGGTTACGCGGCGCAGTTTTGCTCCTCTCCCTGGTTGTTTTTCATGTTTATACGGCGGCATCTGGCATTTCTGCTATGAAATGTCACGGCAATTGTGGCCTCTGGGGTCTCTCAGGAGGAGCGCAGCGCTTGGCTAAATCAGACCCTAAAGAAGATTTGACCCTCTCAGTCATTTATTTGTTTATTTTTAGCAGATTTCTGTGTAGTTGAATGGTGATGCTGGAAATGCCGGTGGAAAGAGGGAATTCCTCAGGCTAGAGGCTCTCCCCTGCTCCCAAACACTCGCTATTGCATCATCTGCAGCAGGACTAACCTCCCTCCTGCCTTTGCCTGGAGCAGTCGGTTAACGGGGTTAACGTGTGAACGCTTTTAGGAACGGGAGCTGCGTGTTCCCTCGCTCCCAACCTGCTTCAAGTGTCAGCTCGGAGCAGGGGTTTGCGCTCCCTCTGGCAAAGATTGCTGAGAACTGGCAGGAAAGAGGCTGCTGCTACAGATAAGCTGCCAAAGCCGTGGAGTGTCAACATGGCCATCCCGGGATATTAATGGAGGAAAAAATGTGGCCAGTGTCATGTTTTCATTTGGGTTCTAAATGATTTAGTGGGGGGAAGAGAAGGAGGTGGAAAGAATGGAAAAACAGATGAGTAAAAAGTTGCTGCTTTTCTCTAATCTTAGAGGAAATGTAAGTGTCTGTATGATGTTCTGGCGCAGTTAAAGTCAGCTAGGACTTCAGCTGTGGGGTAATTGAAGCTGCTGATAAAATCCTCATTTCAGAAGGACTCCTGACTTTGATTTCAGAATCTGATTATTTATATTATAGCCCATTTGTTACAGGTGTAACCCTCATGGAAGCGATGAGATCAGAAATGGACAAAAACATGAAAATAATAAAATCGACCACCATTTTAAAACTGTATTAAAGAATATCACTTCATAATTTTACTGAGCAATAGAGTTGAAAAAAGAATTACTAATTATGCTTAACAACTCTTTTAAGTTCAACTGACATAATTTTTCAAAGTGGTCGCTGACTCCATCCTATTTTTCTTCTCAAAGGTGAGACAGGCTCGTGGAACACTGACAATGAAATCAAAGGAAAGGCCCTTCTGCAGTAGTGTCACTGTTGCTCTCAGTCATGTTTTATCACAGGGTTTGCAACTGGACTTAGAGGCCAGAAGGAGATTTTAAATAGCTGGTTACATACTAAAAATAAGTACAATACTGTACACCAACTTTGTCATTCTTGTGCAGATGAACAATGTGACACCAGAATACTGTCTTGACATCATACAGAAGTTTGAGGTCTCAGAAGAAAACAAGGAGCAGAATGTTTTGGGTATCGAAGGTAAAGTTCTTGATTTTTAAGCTATTTTCATGTCTTGATCTGTTGTAGTGGAATAGAAAAATTTGGCACTGTTTGGGTGTAGCTGGTGATGTTTGGTGATGACGATGGTGTCTTACCCAGGAGAGCAGCAGTCCGTAGTGGCAGGGTGGGAGAGCAGGGCTGAGCTGCCCGAGGAGCACGGTGCTGCCCACCCTGCAGCCCAGCAGTGTCCCACAGCCATAGCACAGTAATTCCAACGTCTTGGGCTTGCATGAATTTATTTCTAAACAGATATAAAGTGTTTTGTGTTTTACAAATACAATATGCTCTCTACTCTAACCTTCTCTAGCTGAAATAATAACAATAAAGGACAATTTTGCATTCTGCTCTCTATCTCTGTAGATCTAGAACTGCTCCTATAAAATCCACTGTTTTATATTTATGTAAAATAAAGAATAAAATAAGGACTTTCATTTTCTTCAAGTTTTAGTGCCTTGTTCACCTTGTTTGCTAAAGCAATTGCAGTTGGTATATTGACAATCCCATTTAGTATCAAATTCCACTCCAAGTTGTTAGTTTGCTCAGAGGGCTGTCGTGAAGCACAGTAATTTGGATGGATGACTGGATGACTTCTGGGTGGAAGCAGGGTCTTTCTCCAGCCACGTAGCCTGGATGTAGCCTTCCAGTTCTGCAGGAAGCTTCCTCTGTGGCTCTGGGCAATTCCCCTAAGCTGAAGTAAAGCAGAGCAGACAAACTGACATTTCAAGAGAGTGTTTTGGAAGGCAACATGGAGCTGCTGCTGCAGGGAGTGTGGTGCAGGGCTGTGACAGGGAGCAGGGCCTGGAGCGTCGCTCCGCGGAGAGGGGGACGTCGCATCCCCGAGGGAGGGTGTCGAGAGGACGGGGCCGGGCCCTGCTCAGCGACGGGACGAGAGGTCGTGGGCACAACGTGGAACACGGCCAGGCCCAGCCCAACACGAGGAAAAGCCCCTTCCCTGCGCGGTGCCGGCGCTGGCCCGGGCTGCGCAGAGAGGCCGGGCAGGCTCCATCCTTGGGGACACTCACAGGCCGCGTGGGCAGGGACCTGAGCACCCTGCTCTGGGTGCCCTGCTGGAGCAGGGGGCTGGAATAGATGGTCTCCAGAGGTGCATCCCAACCTCATCCACTTGTGATTTTGTAATGCTCATTTACAGTCAAAGAGTAGCACTGGGACAGAGCGTCAAAACGTCTGAAGTAAATTCAGGACAAGGTCAGGACAATTCCATCTCCTAGAATAATTACAAGAGAGGATATTTTCAGCCATAAAATTCTAACAGAGCCAACAAACCCTTCTCTGTTGGTGTGGGGATGGTTTTGTCTGAACCGTAGGAGGCAGCTCTAGCCCTCGAACCCGTGTGTGCACGCAGAGGGGTTCTGCAGGGTTCAGAGTTATGCATGCACTTCTCTCAGTGCTTCGTGGGAGTCTGAAGGAAACACCCGCTTTGAAAAGACATCATGTAGTCAGTATGCAGCTCTAAGGGTTTTTTTCAGCATTCTCATATAGCTCCTATTTATTACTTAGATTTTATGTTTATATTTGAATTCTTCTTTCTATATTTGCTATCCTTCGTTAGTTGATTTCTTACAAATCTCTTAGCTTGGTGCCATGTTTTGCAAATGCTTGTTATTTTTTGGCAAGCATAAATGTGCTTTTCTAGATTGCGTTCTCTTTTTTAATTTAAAACTCTCAAAATTGTCCGAAGGCAAAGGTTGGATCTTGGGAATATGTTTTCCGGAATATGCTCTTCTCAAAGTTGCTGGGACTTCCATAGGTTTTAATAAGGATTATCTCTGCTGGTGGGAATTGTAGATTGTGTCTGTACATCCTCTTCAGAGCAACTTGCACGTGAAGTGGGCAGATCCCAGGCAGCAGTTAACACGCTGAAAATGAGAGATATAGGAAGGTAAATGTGATTCAAGATTAACGTGATGTAGTTCAACAGGTTTTGAGTCTTGAGTTAACAAGGATAAGCGTAAGCAGGAAAAAGTGCTAAGAGTGCAGGTTGCTCATCTATGAGACAGACCACACGTGTGGAAAAACTGATGCTCTTTGTTCCAAGGCTTCACCAACTTCATGCGCAGTCCTGCCTGCGACGTGTTTAATCCACTGCACTGCGAGGTGCACCAGGACATGGACCAGCCCCTCTGTAACTACTTCATTGCCTCGTCCCACAACACGTACCTGACCGGGGACCAGCTGCTCTCGCAGTCGCGGGCCGAGATGTACGCGCGGGTGCTGCAGGACGGCTGTCGCTGCATCGAAGGTGACTTCCGTGCGGCTTGTGGGTCGGGGGGTAAATCGGGCTGCTCTGAAGACTTACGTTTGCCACCATGTTTGTGTCTTAATGCTGTTGTACTTTTGTTGTTAATTTTGGTGGTAAATTCTGTTTTCGACTAATCTAAGCAGGAAATTTTATATTGGGAATGACCTTCTTGGGCAAACCCTGAGGCAAACAGTAGATAGCTGTGAACTTTTGTTTTCTACTGCACCTTTGTGGTTTTACATCGCTGTTTAATATATGGGGAAAAAAACAGTTTTAGGTTGCACATCATTTATTTAATATAAAAAGGAAAACATTATGTATGTTATTAAACTTGATGCAAGTTTGTAATGGGGTGTGTGAAACTTGCTGGCACCTGCGTGGTGCAATGATGTGCGTGGGTTCTCCTGGCAAGCAAGGTGAGCAGAAATGCATGGGATCATGGGCATCTTTTAACATGTAGGACTTTTTCTCTTTTCAGTGGATTGCTGGGACGGTCCAGATGGAGAGCCAGTAGTGCACCACGGCTATACCCTTACTTCTAAAATATTCTTCCGTGATGTGGCAGAAACAATCAATAAATACGCCTTCGTCAAAAATGAGTAAGTGAAGAGCCGAGCGCTTCTCCCAATGCCCTTTTACAAAGGTTGGTCATTTTGAAGCTGGACCCTGTCTAGGTCCTATGTGGTAAATGTCACATGGAAATACAACATTAGAAAGTATATGCATTCCTTTAAATGCACTTAAAAAGTGCAAGGTTGATTATTTTCCCATTTATTGCCCATGAAATATTTATTATTCAACTGTGTAGGCTCCTTACCTTTCCCATCAATCAAGTCAGAAAGTTCAGCCCAAGTTAGAAAGGCTTTTCATGTGTTGTAAACTCAAGAAGATTTCTGTCTAATATAATCTCATTTCGTAATGTACATATATTGAAAAAATTCCTGCATCTTCTACCTAGGGAAAATTCTTTATTTCAGTAATAAAATAGAAAAACTGTCTCACATGTAGTATAGGAAATACAGAAGCTCAAGGGTAATTCTTTCTACTTTATCTTACTACTTTATAACAAAGATTATTATCAAAATCATGAGGGGCTTAAGTAATCTCAAAAATCATGCATGGATGTATAAAATTGAGTAGTCTAGAAAGGATACATGGAAAGTAGAAGAATCCAATTGAATAAAAGATTCTACAGTGGTGGGAGGAACCCAAGCTGGCAAATTTGGTGTCCTCAGGTAGAAACAGGAGCTGGTTCTTTGTTTGGTGTATTGCGAGTCTGGGGGGTTCCTTACAGTAGAATTCTGGGGCTGCTTAGAGTTTAGAAAAGGAAGCAACTAGATGTTATGTACAGATATAAGGCTTCTGACTGCAAATTCTCGGAGCCCGGGAGAGCATTCTGGGAGGTACTGCCAAATACTTCTCCTGATGTCCTTTTGTAAAGCTTGGTGGCATGACTCACTATAGCATGACTTCTTATGTCCTTAAATTTATTTATGTTGTGTTATTTATTAAGACAAAGGTAATTCATTTGTGCAACCACCATAAAATCTTTGGAAAAGAGGCAGGAGAGTTAGAAATTCCTTTGAATCTGTTGATTTCCAAATGCCTTTTTTCAGGAGCAGTTTGCTGGGCACTTGCAGCTTACACAGACTTTGTGTGTGGCTTGCAGACAAGTGCTGTAACTTCTTTTCAGCTGACTGAAACACGGCTTTGAAACTGCCTGTTTCAAACTCTCGATCCCTGTGCCCTAGTGGGATGGGATTGGAAAGAGAGGGCAGAATTACCAGCAAGGACCATCTAGTCCGTGAGAAATCCAGGATTTGGGAGTTCTGTGCACAAAGCCTCTCCTTCCAAAGCGAATTTGCTTTCCATCTCCTGAAAATGCAAAAGCAACCTATGGAAAATGGTGATGTGGCACACTCATAAAGCACTGTTATGATATTATTGGGGGGGTTTGTTCTAGGTTTCCAGTGATACTGTCCATCGAAAATCACTGCAGTATTCAACAACAGAAGAAGATTGCTCAGTATTTAAAGGAGATATTTGGTGACAAACTGGACTTGTCATCTGTAATCACTGGAGACTCCAAACAGCTTCCTAGCCCTCAAAATTTGAAAGGCAAAATCCTCGTGAAGGTAACTTGCTCCTGGCATCGTGTTCAAAATGCACTAAAAGTCGGCATGTGGTGTTTATCCTGGTTCCTCTCCCTTTGGCTCTGGAGAGCCTGTCTGGCAGTAGCGTGAGGATCAGAACAGATGCAGAGTGAGTTAAAATTCCGAGCTTTTCACGGAGACTTTGGAAACGGATTTACTTGACAAGTGTCCCAAGATACTTCCATAAATGTTTTAACAGACAGGCAATATCAACACCAACATAAGGAAATTCATCCTGCTTATTAAGCATCTCATTTAATAGTCTCAAAGGCAGCTAGAGAGATGCTAATTTTTTAATGTTAGCATTTGATCATGAGGGAAGAGAAGTGATATAAAGTGCATCTTTATGAATAGGGTGCAATCTGACAGGTACCTGAACCATTATTGGTATATGTTGATATATGGATAAAGCACTGACAAAATTTGTCTCATTTATGTTACTAGTGGGTATTTTTCCCCTATGGTTTGTATCTCTATAGTATTTACGCGTTGTCCTGCAGCCTTTACTAGTCCTAAATATTTTGGAATAATATAAAGCTCTATCTGAAACGGCTTCCTGCGTTTTCTTGCATTTCGCGCCCGCCTCACTGTCCGCAGCAGCTCAGGAGAGGAGGGGGTGGCTCCACGGCTCAGCAGCTGGGCGTGCACCATGAATAAGCTGAGCCTTGTGAATGTAAGCAGATAGTGCAGCTTCCAAGAGGAATTTCAAAGACCACGATGGATACAATAAGGAGGAAATGCTAGACAGGGCTTTGGGAAGATGATTAATACAGTTATCGCTTATTAGATTGTCTCTTTCTAATTTGCTTTGATGCATGAGGGCAATCACTTCACATAGAGCCCTGAAAATACCGTAGCTTCCTCTACCCTCGTTATCAACCTGTCTCTAAAGATTCATAACTTAGGTTTGAATTTACTCTGGATACATTTCAGTAATTGCTAATTGATCTATCTTGCCTGTATTGTTTTTCCAGAAGTTGCCAGAATAACCTCTGTTTGGCACTGTTTGGTTGCTGGGAACTAGTCGTGGAATTAAAGTACTTCCTTTCTAAAGAGCTAAATAAGACCATAATAGTAATGAATTAGCAACTGCTTCTGGATGGCTGTATTTTTACATGAGCATGCAGCATCAAAATAGGCTTTATTTATTTATCAATTTATTATTTATTTTTTATTTATCAGCCATTATGTTGATGGCTACATGCAGTGAGGTATTTGTCTGCATTTTCCTTTCCCACAACAAAGTCTCTTTTTCCTTTTCTTTTTCTTTCAAGTACACCATAGCAATGCTACAAGTGAGCCTGAAACACCTGGGAGTTAACTTGAAAGAAAAACATTTAGACTCAATGGCTTGCTCCAGAAATGGGAGCATGAGCGTTGTTTTATTTACTTTTGTTTTCTGAACTAGCTTACAAAGTTGTTTTTAGTAGCAGTAATAAACTCCTCCTAGGCTTTGTTAGTGCAGTTATCCCAGCAGTTAGATTTTGCTGTAGAAATGGGCCCTGGCATCCTGTACCTAAGCTCGGGGGCCCTCCCACCTCTACAAACACAGAAAAGCAGCATCCTTAGGAGGTTCCCTCGTTCACCTCTCTGCTCACACGCTCGTGTGGTCTGAAAGGTCCTGTCACTGCCCCCCTGGGAAGGGCAGCGTTCAAAGGGTTCGGTTCAAACGCTCTGATTCTCACCGGTGTTCACAGAGTTTAGAGAGCAGAAGAGCAATGCAGGCTGTTGCTCTGAGCTTGCTTTTCTGTTGTTATGTGATAACTGAGCAAAAAGCTGGAACTATGTAAGACAACATGGGATCTGTGGATGTGTTTTGTCATTTTACAAGTCTAGTTTGGGTCAGCACCCTTCACAAGTGTGCGTGCTTACAGACAGTGTGTCCATTTAACAGAATGGTACAATTAATTGTACCTCTGTAGTGATTAAATCACGGGTATTAATTGTACCTCTGTAGTGATTAAATTGCCAGTTGCATATAATGGTGCTTGGCACATTTTAAAAAGAAATTCCGAATTGCACATAATGCAAATGGCCACAGTTGCATTGGTTTCTTTCCTCTGAAAGCTTACCCAGTAATTTAGAACTGTTAAACTTGAAAAAGTCCTTCATTCTTCTCTTTGCATTGCTTAGGAGTCAGTTTGGCAATGAGAGTATCACAGCTGGCAACTTCCTAGCAAAAAAAGCTCATAGGAGACATTATCATTTTGTGCTAGTCTGGTTCCTTGAGCCAGTTTGCTTTCGGCTCTGAAAGTAAATCCTAAACTCTCTTTACACTATGCCATGAAATATGAAAGGCTTTCTGCCCTTTATTTAAATAAGGAATATTTGGGGGATGTGCTGCCTTAGGCATTGCCCCAAATAACACTGACCATTTGTGTATTTATTTTCCTCGTTCTTGCTCTTTCCTTGTTTTCAGGGCAAAAAGCTGCCATACAGTCTTGGAGAAGATGCTGAGGAAGGAGAGGTTTCGGATGAGGATAGCGCTGATGAAATCGAAGATGACTGCAAGTTGAAGCTCTGCTATGTATGGGCATACACACACTTCCCAGAACTGTAACAGCTCCCATTTCTTACATGCGTATTCCATAATCCCACTTAGAGCTCTTAGCAGACTAAATTCTTCAGTCAGGTGCTTACGATATAGAAGTAATATCACTCAACATTTAGATACAGATGAAGTTGTTCGGGAACCTCCATCTTTACTTTGTCCTAAAGAACACACAATTAACAACAGATTTAAGTATTTGCTACTAACAAATGTTGGTGCTGGCACTATAAGCGTGCTGGACTCTTTCAGGTACGAACATGTAGTACTGAAGATTACACACTGGTTAACTATACAGATTCTAGACAAAAAATATGAAAGGAGACATAGAGATGAAGAAAATCTCTTTTTTTAATCTCGTTTAATTCCTCTGTTACTTTTTTTTATCTGTCACCACAAACTGTTTTCTGTTCTTTTTTATTCTTAACTCTTGTTTATTTTTCTGCAGTTAGTTTTATCAATGCTTTCTTTGCTATCAACTGAAAGCAGTGCACAATGCTAATACACATTACCCAGCAGTACTTTTCCCCATTCAGAAGGCAGTCGTACCTGCCTTCTGCATTCAAAATTTTGATCTAGGGCAAAATGATTCTAAATTTCTAACTGGATTTCTTAATGCCTTTCAGAGTAATGGTGCAATTGAGCACCAGGTGGAATCTTTTATAAGGACGAAACTCGAATCTCTGCTAAAAGAATCCCAAATCAGGGACAAAGAAGATCCTGACAGTTTCACTGTGAGAGCACTTCTAAAGGCAACACATGAAGGTTTAAATGTTAACCTGAAACAGGTACGCGGGTTTCCTTCCCATTGCTCTGTTGAATATTAGACAACACAAAGTGCATTGCAGATTTATCAAATGAGAAAGCAAATGGTTTATGAAGAACTTCCCAAATTGTTTTCATTTTTTTTTAAACATGAGCTTGAGATTATTTAAGAAATACCTGCTGAGAGGATTCGAGCAGTTAGAGGTGAAGAGTATGGAAGCGGAAAGTTTATTTCCTTGTAAACCTTAAAGGTTTTGAATTCCAAAAAATGCAGATATTGCAAGTGACTGACCATGATGGTGAGTCAGGCTGTCATACCGTGATACCGGAATGCATATTAGGTTGAAAACAGGCCTTTTAAAGACTACACCAGAAAGAGAATTTTCCTAAGGTGGATACCTGATAGTTACACTATTTATTGCCCTTTTTCTCTGCGCAGAACCTGGATTCAAAAGAAGGTGGAAAAAAGTCTCACGGTCGATCGTTAATGGGCAACTTTGGTAAACACAAAGTAAGTAAAAAAAAAAACCCACTGTTTTATGTTTCACGGCATTCTAACCACAGAGCATGTTTTATTTTTGGAGTGTGACGTGGTGCTGCAGGTGGGCAGTGAGGAAGGGCTGCCGGTATTTGCTGTTCGATCGCATCCACGTATTTATTGTCCCTTAGAAGAAGGGTGGGTCAGCAAGGAGAACCATTTAAGGATGGTTACGCAGACCCACCAAACCTTACCCGGCCAGAAAGGTCGTGTTCACTAACCACAGGCAGTTGCTGACTGCCTGATTAAACTTGCAGCACTCGGACACATGGACAAGTACCTTGACATAATCCTGTTTTCCAAAGACTTCTGTCCAGGCAGCTGTCAGCGTTTGGTGCATTTGGGGCCCAGTTTTGCCCCAGTTCGTGCTCTAGGCAGCACCCTGCCCTCTGAATGTCTTTGTTTGTGTTCTGAGCTGCTGTAATTGGGTAGTGGAGCTGGGTGCCACACTTGGTGCTCTGTGGAAGCGCTTTCTCTTCTGGTCTCCTCATGGCTTTGCCTTCCTAGTTGTGTCCTTGCCTCGCTGCCAAGCAGCTTGTCCACTCCACTGCCTCTTTGCTGCGGTGGCTCTGCTGAACGAAGCAAGAGCTAATATAGTGTAAATGAGTATGGAGTTTTGCATTGCAGCTGTGCCAGCTGGATGGTAACAGCCATCCGAAGGGACAGCACGCCCATGTTCCTTCTCATTCCCATATCCTGACAAATAGGTTCCTGTCATCTGCCTCCCTTATTCCCACTTGTCTTACGGGTTGGGTCTGGGGATTGTGCAGCCCCATGTGAGCTGCCACAGCTAAAAGCTTCCTTCCTCCCAGAGCAGAGAGCAAGTAAATAAACGAACTGGGAGGCTGATCATGGAAAAGGTCTGAGAGACAGGGCTGCAGCCTCCCTCACAGGGAGGGAGAGGGGGAAGGTGCCGTCCGCAGCCCGTGTTCCTCCTCAGAGCCATCCACGAGGGAAGCTGCAGCCACATGCACTACGGAGCTGAAACTCTGCAGGGCAGTTGAAGGAAAAATGGCTATTACAGAATACATTACAGAATTTAATCTGCCCGCCTGCTTGTCTGCTCTGGAGCCAGCTAGGAGCCACCAAAATTTCTGTAAGCCAACGGTACCAAGAGCCATAGCTGTGCTTGCATTAGAAGCTTACATCAGTTTGAAGTGATTATATTTCTTTCAGGATATTAGACAACACAAAGTGCATTGCAGATTTATCAAATGAGAAAGCAAATGGTTTATGAAGAACTTCCCAAATTGTTTTCATTTTTTTTTAAACATGAGCTTGAGATTATTTAAGAAATACCTGCTGAGAGGATTTGAGCAGTTAGAGGTGAAGAGTATGGAAGCGGAAAGTTTATTTCCTTGTAAACCTTAAAGGTTTTGAATTCAGGCTGCTCTCCAGCCTCGGCTCAGATGGAGAATGAAGATGTCCCTGCTGGCCACAAACTCCCCCAGCTGCCCCCCAGGCAGCCCAGACACTTTTGGAACATGTAGGAAATGGAAACTGTGATTAAAAATTAAGTTGTGAGGAGATCACAAAAACCTCACGTGAAATTGTCAGTCGTTAGGCTTCATGTCAGTCGTGATTGCTGTTGTTGCTGTCAGATATTCCCTCTTATCTGAGAGACAAGTGCTTCATCTTCTCAGCTTTCCCTCTACAGCTCTCTACAAAGACTTTCAACTTGAGCTAGGAATAAATGTTTGAATAGGAGGCACAGGGATTCTTGGCTTTCCAGGGCCTGAGGGAAGCATCCCGGGTCCTTGCTGTGGTAACCAGATGGGAGCTCCGAGGCTGCGTACTGCTGCATTCCGGGTTCACCCACACGCTGGGGGTTTTGTCAGCACCTCTGGGTCTTTATTCTGCTCCGTGGAAGATGAAGGGCTGAGCTTTTCTGACAGGCAGGGCTGGACAGGGCCAGGGACCGTGCAGCTGGTGTCCCAGGGCAGGGACTGGCTGCCTCGCTGCGCTCCCCACGTGTCCATCTGGGATTTTTTCCCTCTTTCTTTTGCAGTTGCCTTTATGTGCACAGTCACATGTTTGGGGGTGGCTTTATTGATGTTTGGTAGGTTTTTCTACATGGGTGGTTATTGTGTTGAATATTAATGTTTTTAACATTTTTTCTCTTACTGCTGGAAGATTGTTATGCTATCAAGTGTGGAAAGCAATTAGAAAAGTCTTGTAATGGATTTGGGGTTTAAATTTGTGTTCAAAGGGCAGTATGTTGTATTTGGACTTCAATTCACTTTTACCTTTATTTTCCTGTATAATTAACAGTGCCATGATGGTGAGTCAGGCTGTCATACTGGAATGCATATTAGGTTGAAAATAGGCCTTTTAAAGACTACACCAGAAAAAGAATTTTCCTAAGGTGGATACCTGATAGTTAACACTATTTATTGCCCTTTTTCTCTGCGCAGAACCTGGATTCAAAAGAAGGTGGAAAAAAGTCTCATGGTCGATCGTTAATGGGCAACTTTGGTAAACACAAAGTAAGTAAAAAAAAAAACCCACTGTTTTATGTTTCACGGCATTCTAACCACAGAGCATGTTTTATTTTTGGAGTGTGACGTGGTGCTGCAGGTGGGCAGTGAGGAAGGGCTGCCGGTATTTGCTGTTCGATCGCATCCACGTATTTATTGTCCCTTAGAAGAAGGGTGGGTCAGCAAGGAGAACCCTCTAAGGATGGTTATGCAGACCCACCAAACCTTACCTGGCCAGAAAGGTCGTGTTCACTAACCACAGGCAGTTGCTGACTGCCTGATTAAACTTGCAGCACTTGGACACACGGACAAGTACCTTGACATAATCCTGTTTTCCAAAGACTTCTGTCCAGGCAGCTGTCAGCGTTTGGTGCATTTGGGGCCCAGTTTTGCCCCAGTTCGTGCTCTAGGCAGCACCCTGCCCTCTGAATGTCTTTGTTTGTGTTCTGAGCTGCTGTAATTGGGCAGTGGAGCTGGGTGCCACACTTGGTGCTCTGTGGAAGCTCTTTCTCTTCTGGTCTCCTCATGGCTTTGCCTTCCTAGTTGTGTCCTTGCCTCGCTGCCAAGCAGCTTGTCCACTCCACTGCCTCTTTGCTGCGGTGGCTCTGCTGAACGAAGCAAGAGCTAATATAGTGTAAATGAGTATGGAGTTTTGCATTGCAGCTGTGCCAGCTGGATGGTAACAGCCATCCGAAGGGACAGCACGCCCATGTTCCTTCTCATTCCCATATCCTGACAAATAGGTTCCTGTCATCTGCCTCCCTTATTCCCACTTGTCTTACGGGTTGGGTCTGGGGATTGTGCAGCCCCATGTGAGCTGCCACAGCTAAAAGCTTCCTTCCTCCCAGAGCAGAGAGCAAGTAAATAAACGAACTGGGAGGCTGATCATGGAAAAGGTCTGAGAGACAGGGCTGCAGCCTCCCTCACAGGGAGGGAGAGGGGGAAGGTGCCATCCGCAGCCCGCGTTCCTCCTCAGAGCCATCCACGAGGGAAGCTGCAGCCACATGCACTACGGAGCTGAAACTCTGCAGGGCAGTTTAAGGAAAAATGGCTATTACAGAATACATTACAGAATTTAATCTGCCCGCCTGCTTGTCTGCTCTGGAGCCAGCTAGGAGCCACCAAAATTTCTGTAAGCCAACGGTACCAAGAGCCATAGCTGTGCTTGCATTAGAAGCTTACATCAGTTTGAAGTGATTATATTTCTTTCAGGGGCTTTAGCCAAACGCACATGTTCATGACCCCTGATTTTCAGGAAACAAAAAGATGAACAATAAGCTGGAAAGCGTGCCGATAACTTATAACTGAATTATTTCAACAAATTATTCTAATTGGATATAGGCAATGAAAAGACCCATTGATTTCATCTCTCTGTTGAAAAAAAGGCAGAGCATTTCTTTTTTTTTCCCTTTTCCCTTTCTTCCTTTTCCCCCCCCTTTTCCCTTTCCCAATTCCTGTAGGTTCACTGAACAAATTTTCTGCAATCCAGACCTTCAGATTCCCAACACTGAACAATACATGTGATTGCCAGAATAGTCAACTCTTATTTCAGCACTGAACACAGCAAATTAGACTATAAACTAAATTATAAAATAAATTATGTGCATCACTGGTGTATCACAGCAGGAGATATGAAATCTGTGCTCAATTATTATCTGGCCATATGAGCAGAAGAACAAGGAGTTCTCAATTATACTACCTCTTGATGAGAAGGGAATTAAAGAAACTCTTTGAACTACAGTTACAGTGTTACAAAACAGTAATGTTGAAATATGAGATGTATCAAAGAATAGCTGCTTATGGAAAAGGAGGTGCTTTTAAAATTTTAATCTTTTTAATGTAGCTAATAGCTTCACTGTATGCTGTAATAAATTAGAATAATTTGATTGCTCATGTGTGTGGCTCAGAGCACAATGGAAAAAAAATTAAAGATGCTGGAGAATTCTGTCCAGAGAGTGTTTTGAGCGTTGTGAAGGCAGCCCTGTGCTGCAGCACACAGCCCTGCCACCCTCCAGGAGCCCTGTGCACTGACAGAGCTCTCTGCTTCTCCCCCAACAGAGAGCTGTGAAGGCAAGATCCAAATCCCAAAGTACATCTGACGATGAGGAAAGCCAGCAAAATCCTTCAGGAAAGGAAACAGGACAGCTTCACAGGTGCGCTATGGAACGTGATGGCCTCACAGCTCCATTAGAACAGGGAGCACGTTGCTCCTGTGGATGGTGCTGCTGCTTTGTCAATGCTTCAGGGAAGCCTGTTCTAAAGAGCAGTTGTTGATGACACCACCCTTGAGGTGTATTTTGAGGTGTATTTTGCTGTTATTGCAGTACCCCAGTATTTTGCCTTGACCCTTGTGGCGCTCTTGTTTTTTAAAAAAATGGCTAGCCCAAACCTAGTTACTAGCAGAGACATATGTTGGTTCTGCAGTAAACTATTATTCAGTAAACTGCAATTTGTAACTACTATGTAAAAATTTACACATTTTAATAATTGATTCTAGAAGTAGACTTTCATTCTAGTAAACATTGTTTTATATGCTTCTAGAACTTCTAGAAAGTTGTCTTGTAAAGTAAAAAAATATGGATGATACTAAAAAAGAGAAGGGGGAATTAAAAAAAAGGCCTGCACATATAACTTTTGTTCAAAAAACATTTTACTCTACAATTGGCTTTAGGTGAAAAAGGTAGAATGGTGTGTCACCTTAAATTTTACCTACTGTAAGAGAAAGCAGAGGATAAACAAAGCACATATGTAGGAAATAAAAACTCATGGGTATTTATTTGAGCATCAGCTGCATGCATGCTTTTCCACATGGTCATCATCTTCAAGTGTCTTCCAAGCTGAGTTTAATTTCAAGAGCAAGTTAAAGCCTTTCTCAAATATTAGTTGTACGCATAACAAGAATGCAACTACCAATCCAAATGGAGAATTCCAATCAAGAATTTATTTATGTTTTAACTTGACCCATAATAAATATATTTTTTAAAAAAATCATATTGTTTACTTTGTTGCAGTACACATTTAGTAACAAGACCTTGTTAGGGTGGTTTGCCGTCCTTGCCTGGTGTGTATTTAGTAGCATGATCATCAGTCCCTCTCTTGTATTTGCACTTGCTACTTGTTGTGAGTTTGGCTTTAAAATTTTACAGCCTGCCTTCTCAATTGCTAGCCTATGCTGCTCAGCATTAACCTTAAATATTATTTTGGAGTACCCTCTATATCTTTATTGTAATATATAGGTGTGTTTGTATCGTGTTCTGTAAAACGAGAAAACTGGGCACAAGTAACTTACGGCAATCAGTGGAAGATCCATTTCAAACAATTTCATGCTCTCTTTCATGAGCCCTTTCTTTCCCAAGAATTTTAGGCACATCAAGGAATCTCCGAGCCTTTTCAGACTCTTCTTTTTAAGGTTTTACTGGCTCACAGAAACATTTACTTTGGGTCACTACTGTAAAATACTTTCTCGGCAGATTGAGTGTTGCAGGAAGGATTTGATAATGATTTACTTTATTTCCAGGGAGGTATATGCTCTTGTGTGAAAATGTTTGAAACCCCTGTGGAGAAACTGAATGCAATAAATCCCAGGAGAATCATGATCTCGTAGAGTTTCAGAAATGGCTATAGCAACTAGCATGAGCTCTTGCTCAGTTTTCCTGTTAAGTCTGAAAACTTAAGGATAGAGCAGAGGATGATCCTGGAAGGTAAAGCTTCAGACACGCATCGTACAGGATTTGCATGTGACAAGCTAATCCATCAGTGTAAATTTGGACTAATTCTTTTCAAATCAATTAATGTTCTCCTTGGTTGATCCCCATATAGCTGAGGTCTGAGTGCAGATCTCCATCCTCTGGGATTGCTTTTTAACTTTGCTCATTTAACAATATATACAGGAACAACAGGGAATGTGCTATCATTCAGTGAAACAAGAGCCCACCAAGCAGTGCAGCAGAAAGCGGAACAGTTTATGCTTTACAACCAGAAGCAGCTTACAAGGGTGTATCCATCTGCATACCGGATTGACTCCAGCAATTTCAATCCTATACCGTACTGGAATGCTGGCTGCCAGTTAGGTAGGTGCTGCCAACGGCAACTGCGGTTACGTCCTCAAACCTCAGCAGATGTGCAACGGTAATGTCCAGCGAAGGTCATGGCCCACAGTGCATTTGTCACTGTAAGTGTCAAGGTGAAAATGTCTTCGTGATAAGTTGCCACTGACTTCACGTGTCAGAATAAACATCCTTCCATTTGTTTGAGAATTTGGGATCTGATTGTGTCCCTATATCTGTAAGTAATCTTTGTGATGAGACCACAAAGCACATTACAGCAGTGTTGCTAATCTTGTCCTAATCTTGTAAAACTCACCTGCTGTATGGATCCTTACTCTCTTGTAATCATATGAGCAAGGGCTGCTCAGCTCAGAAATGGTTGTAAGAAACAAGAACGGAATTGAACAGTTCGTTAATAAAGTCCTCTGTAGTCTAATTCGCTCCCCTATGTCTGGATGTATCTTTCTTTTGTAGATCTGTTCTGTGTATTTTTTTCTTTCCTTTTTTCTCATTCCTTGTTAATTTTTAGGTACCTTCAACCCCTACTCTGCTGATCCACTTCCTGCCAGTCCTAAAAAGCAGCTTATTCTGAAAATCATCAGTGGGCAGCAATTACCTAAGCCTCCCGACTCGATGTTAGGAGACAGAGGAGAGGTAAAATGGTGTGATACCAACAGGTGCTTCCGTGAGAAGTCCTGGAGCGATATGACATTGTATGACTAGAACTTTCTCCTCATTTAAATACACCAATAATTTGTCAAGATTTGAAACATATTGTCAAGTATTTGGTCATTAAGTACTACATTTTCTGATGAAGGCTGTATCCTTCACATGATGTTTAGGAGTTAATTTCTTGTTTCTTATTGAGAGGGAAGGGGGGAATTACTCATTGCTGAGCATCCGTCGTACCAACCTACAGTCAATAAGGTCACTTCATGTGATTGTGCTGCTTGAAAAGTATGTGATAAGCAAAGGATTTTTGAATGTAAATGACTTTTCTGCACTTGTATTTCATTAAAAATTGACCTTCATTTGTATCACTAGATTGTTTTTAATTTTTTTTTCTAATAGATAATAGATCCCTTTGTCGAGGTGGAAATTATTGGTTTACCTGTTGACTGCTGTAAAGATCAGACAAGGGTGGTTGACGACAATGGTAAGATAATCTAGCTGACTTCTTCCTCTTAGAGTAAGGTATGAAGTCATTACAAATTAATCTGCTTTATTACTTTCTCAACTGCAAATCTTATTAACCCATGAGACCAAATAATTGGCTTTCTGCTTTTGAGGTAGAGTTTCTGGTGTAGAGAGAAAGAAGTGAGAGGTGAAAGAAGAGAACTGCTCACCGCATTCTTCATAGCTGTCCTTTATGCAGAAGTTGCAAGTATTTCTGAATATGAAATACCTGTATAATATCAAGTGAAATGAAAAGAGACGCGGCAGTTTGTCTGCCATATCAGCCTTGGTGGAAGCGAGATGAAAAAGACCCGAGGTGAACAGCCTGGTCTAGCAGGGGCTGTCGGTTCTCACGGCAGCTGCGGTACCGCCGGGGACGATGAGAACCTCTTCATTTTGGTCTATCTTTAGTCTGCCATAATTCTACAAAGCAGCAGCCGGCCTTGCTATCCCTGCCAGCTCCCCAGCCAGAAGCATTTTGTTTATAAAGGCTGTCTAGGAAATACACGTAATTAAAAATGAGAGTTTATTGTGGAGGTTGAGAGATGCTAAGTCTAGATGAGTGGTAGCCAGTGAGTGTTGGGTTTATTTGGTTTGGTTTGTTTGGTTGCTTTATGTTTCTCTTGCCATGCATCATGCAAACTGAGGCTAATGGTGCTGTGACTGCGTCCCAGAATTTCTGTTGTTTGTTGCCCAGGGTTTAATCCTGTGTGGGAGGAAACGCTCACCTTTACCATCCACATGCCTGAAATAGCTTTGGTTCGATTTCTTGTTTGGGACCACGACCCTATCGGGCGGGACTTCGTTGGACAGAGAACTTTGGCCTTCAGCAGCCTTGTGCCTGGTTAGTGCTGCTTGTTTTCCTTGACTCTGAGATCCGGCTGGAGTCAGATGCTTTGGAGTTTGAAGTGCAGGACTAGCCATGCAAACAGGATATTGCCTCTCTGAGGCTGCGCGTGTGAGCTCGGATGTTTCACCCAGGGTCTCTGGGGGGAGCCCTGCCTCTTATTTCAAGCAGATCTGGGTGTACTTGCAGAAATCTCAGCTTTCATCTTATTTGCAACTTGGATGCAATTTATACTGGGGGGCTTGGAAAGCCTGTCAAGATGGAAGATAGTAGCTTTTATTAAAAACAGCAGATATTGCCGTATATATCATGCTTTTTTAATAGTCCTTGCCAGTTGTCCATACAATGAATACTGCTGGTTAACTGTAGTTGTTTCTTTATTTTGCTAGGTTATCGTCATGTGTATTTAGACGGGCAGACAGAAGCATCCATATTTGTTCACATAACCATTAATGAGATCTATGGAAAGGTAGGTACCCCTAGGAAGGTACATCCTTTACCTTTTTTTGTGTTAGTATTCTGGCAGACATGGATTAAAATGCCCCACAGAACCTCAGTGCCCTTTTGAGGTGTTTCTAAGTGACTCTTGCAGTCTAGGTGTGTGCTGTTTTGTAGACTGGGTCAGCAGCATCTAACTACTTCTGCCACTAATTAGAACTAAAGTGGAAACAAATTATTCAGAGCATGCAACAGGATAAAGATGTCAAGTCTTATTCCCTATTGCCCTGAACTCGATGGCTCTGTTGACACCGTTCCCTGTATAGCAGACACGTGCCTGCTGTGCTCGGGGAAGCCAACCGCTCCTCCCGCGGAGCGCGAGCGGGACGTGTGTCCAGGAGCACATTGGTGTCTCTGAGACTCTGGGATCGCAGGGCAGACCCGTCTGTGTGCTCAGGAAGCAGAGCTGGTAAAATATGGGCTGTGTTTTTGTTTTTCTTGACAGGCAATCAGCTTCAAAGCATAACACTCCCCTGTACTAGTTTTAGCATGCGTATTTATCAATCTACTTACTGATGCCACCTAATACTCATTCCACATCTAGTTGAAGTGCCCTCTTATAGGCTTAATTTTTAATTAATTTTACTTCAGAAGTAACGGTTCAGAGCTGTAACAGCACCAGGACCTGGTACTTGACAAGTTATTTTTAACTGGTAATCTCTCTGAAATCCTTCAGACTGTAGTATGTGTAACGTTGCTGCTATAATGCAGGACTATTGATTTTAAAACTTTTATAGAAAATTTTACAACAAAAACACAGTGCCTCTTCCCCTGCATATCTGTTTTAACTACTTTCATGAAAGTTTACAAGAGGTCAAAAAACTAACCAGCACAGATATGTTAATCCGGTTCAACAGCCTGATAAAATAAAATGGACCTTTGTAGTGATTTTTTTAATAACTTTTTTTTTTTTTTTTTAAGAGCAGAGGTGAAGGAAATGGTTAGTCTCAGTCTTTCTCCATTCTGAGAGCTGATACAGAGGAAGTCTTGTTAAAATTAGCCCTGGCCACCAGCTTTTTGTCTGCTCTGCATCCATGTTAAAAGTACATCCATGTACATGTAAAAGTATATACTACATCCATGTTAAAAGTAAACAGCATGGAATACATTTGCAATATATGTGATGTGTGAAATCTCGTGCCATTTTGGTGATAGTCTCTAAGGAGGCCTGTTTGGCTGTTGCTCTTTCTTCATGTGCTCTTCAAAGAGGAAATCTAGTCAGGAAAACTGAGCAGCTTCATATTAAAGATGAGTGATGATGATAGCAGAAAATCAAAAAAGATCCAGTGCGATCTCATCTCTTTTGTATAATTGAGTCCATTGATCTAATGGGGAGCTATCTGACCGTGTTTCCAAGGTATAAAAGAGGCTGAATGTACTTTTGCATCCTTGTAGCTGAAGATTGCAGGTCAAATTTCTTTGAGAGAGGCTAATGCAAGACCAGTAAACAGTTGTAAGTGGTTTTGCTCTACAGGGTTATGTTTACAACTGATGTTCTGTTACCTTGTTGCTTGTATCACAGTTTTGAAAACATCAGCCAAACATATTTGCATTTTTTCCCTTTCAGTGGAGCCCTTTAATCCTCAATCCCAGTTACACAATATTGCACTTTCTAGGAGCCACAAAGGTAGCCCTCCTTCGCATGCGCTTTGCACTTGCCAGGCACAGAGCTGCAAACGGTTCCTGATTGCATGGCCTGTAACTACCAAGCTACATCATTTTCATGCGGACTGAAGCATTTGGATATTGCTTTGATGAAGCCCCTGCATAAAATTCCAAGTTAATGTGTCCCTGTCACTGCAGTGCACTTCCTGCAGTCTTGTCATCTCTGATTAGGAGACTTCCAGAAAACCTCCCTTGCAATGGTGGCAGGCTGCCATCCTAATGAGGAGAAAAGACATGCATGAATTCATGGAGGCCTATGCTGATAGCTCCTTGGTCAGAGCACATGTGAATTGCTTGGTGTGACTTTTTGCTTTGCTGCGTTTTAATTTTGTCATCATCATTCATTAACAGCAGCAGCCCTTTTCATTGCCTTCTTTATGTAACAGTCTGAACTCACCTGACATTAGTTATTCTTGTCCTTTCAGAACAAGCAGCTCATAGGGCTCAGAGGGCTGTTTAACAAGACCCCCAAGCACAGCTCTGCCGAGAGCGCCGGGCACTATGTGCGGAAGAGATCCCTGGGCGATCGCATCCTCCGGCGCACGGCCAGCGCGCCGGCCAAAGGCAGGAAGAAAAGTAAGATGGGGGGCGTGGAAGGCATCGAAATTAAAGACAGCGCCTCCGAGCCCGCCGACCTGCGGGACGGAGACGGAGTGGTGAGGCGGACGGCGCGGAGCGTGCAGGCACGGCCCGCTTCCATGCCCGTGGACAAGTATCTGCTCGTAGGACTGCCGTGCGCAGAGGGGGAAGCTGTGCAAGATGCCGCAGGAAAAGAAAATGCATCTGGTAAAATTGCTTTTTGTTTAACTAATTGAAATAGTCTGTTAAAAAGCTTGGTTGTGCAGCCCTTACGCGCAGGTTGTTGCTGGGTAAAATGTTGTGCTTTAGAGTGTAGTATTTTATCAATTTGCATGCATTTCTAGGTCACCTCAAACTGGTTGCCTAAAGAGTTGGGAAATAATAATAATAATGTGGGGAAGTGCTCTTAATAGGACGTTTGTCAAGCTGCTTTTTGTGTTCTAAGAGCAATGTCCAGCCCCGCTGCCGCTTTGCTGCGTTTCTTGGCGCGGTCGTGCCCTCCGGCCCGGGGGGAAGGCCAGCGCGCAGCGGGTGCCCCGGGGCAGCCCCTGCAAGCAGAGGCAAAAGGAGGTCGCACTCTGGATCTAGCAGTCTTGACTTCATCCCGTTAAAGTAATCAGATTAAATAACCTTGACTATACGAAAAGCATGTGTTAGGAAACAGTCTGAGTCTTGCATTGTTTATACACAAAACAATTTACTACTAAAAATAACATTTTTTTTCTAGTTTCTAGCTTCTAAGTTCTCTAGCAGCAGTAATTTGGGTTTGGAAATCCAATACTTTGCAGCCATTCCTGTGACTGTAGCACAGCTGCATTGTGTTGCCATGGCCTGCCTAATGTACTGAGCATTTGTCTGGGACCTGTGATGTGGTGGCTGCAGCTGCTTGGGCCTCGCTAGTGCCCTGGGGGCGGGGTGGACCTGCTTGGCCCTTGGCCGTCCCTTTCCAGCGTGTTCCAGCAGCCCGGGATCCCGCCCGGCTCTGACGGAACGGCGTTTCCCGAGGCCCTCCCATTGGGACACGTCCTCGGGACAGGCCGGGGAACACAGGGAGAGCCTGGGAGCTGGGGGGCAAGTGCTGCCCTCTTCCAGGGCTCTCAGTTGCTGGAGTCCAAGAGCTCCCGTGCGTGCTGGCACAAGGGGGTCGTGCTGCCGAGCGCGGCCGCGCCGGCCGGCGGAGCCGAGCGCCCGGACAGCGCTGCTGAGGAGAAACAAAGCCAGCAGAATTGAACATTCCCTATTCCCAGCACCCTGCAGCGGAAGTACAGGCAGGAACAAGGTTATTCCTAGTAATGGAAGCTAACTGCAAAAATGAAGCTGGGGCAGCTCAGCTGTTCTTAGCTACGGATGTGATCGTTTCTGATGGATTTTTCCTAGAGATACTGTATAGGAATGCAGGAAATTCACTTTGAGGAAATTTCTGCCCCTTTTTTTGAAGGTCACAAGTATTCACTGGTAGTGGAAAACCTTCACAAAAAACCCCTTAGGCACAAAGAAGTCAGAAGTGAAGATGATGTTGTTCCTGAGGTCTCTGCTGTCCCCAGGAGACCTTCTCACAGCACAGCCTTGTGCTATATGGGAATGAGCTGGGATATTTTCAGGGAGTAAATCAAGCCCAAATATTTGAGAGTGCGAGGAGACTCCTCGTCTAGGGAGGAACGAGTCAGAAGGCACGTTGTGCATGGCAGGGTGCAGTGAAGAGGGACGAGGGCGGCTGTCCACCAAAGACCTTTGTGCAAAGGCTGAGTTTGTCTAATGTGTTAATTAATTAGAATTGCACCATGTGGGACATGAGCCTTCCGTTTCCTGTTCTCGATGGAAAGGAATCTACAAAGAAACTTGTTGCTGTTCCATGCTCACGTGGGAGCTGTGTAAATGCCCTGTAGCTGCACTGGAAAGCTTGGACTTTTTCCATAATCTGGAGATCAGCCCAGCATGCCATGTTCATTGAAAACAGCCCTTCCTGTACCAGGGGCGTTCTCTTGCACTGCTTGTGAGTGACAAGGGCTTCTCTTTTTCCATTCCAGGGGGCCTGAATCCTAGTGACAGTTAGAAACAGTCTCTCCTGTCAAATTTACCTCTTTGGTCCTTAATTAAAAAGGTACCAAAGTGATGAGTGAGTTGTGGACCTAGGAGTTCGTATATAAAGAGAAGTAACATGAGATATATAAGGAGAATTAATATGATTTGGAGGAGAAAATGTATCTAATGTATATTTTTCATGGAATTCAAAATTTTGTTCTCATATGAATGCACTATGTTGGTAGAAGTTAAAAAGTTCACTCTCTAGACTGCAGCAATTCAGAATAGCTGTATGCAGTGACTGTACGGCGGGGTCCATCTACTTGATGCTTCTTGTCGGAGCTCTTTTAAGCATGCGTCTTGTGTCAGTGTTCTGCTTTTTAACAGAGCTCTTTTGTTCTGTCTTTATTGCCATGCTTCTTTATAGTACAAATCTGAATAGGAGCACACCCGAAGGTAATACCACATGCGTACTGTGATCTGGTACCTCATTAACATTGTTTGCAACAAATATTACATCATGTGCTCGATGTAATAGGCATTCAAAGGAAGCTTCAGTGAAGCGCCCGCAGCTGTATTTTCCCATTTATTCATCCACTCAAATAATTTGTATTAAACCTGCACAACCCCATAATTAAGTTCTGTCACAACTGTACCTAATTTTGCATTCTCCATTTGTCTGTCTAAGGACAAAATGCTTGTTAATAAACACCACAAAATATTGCGTGCAACTAATATGTTTCTTATCTAATTTAGCCAACAGTGATGCTACAACTGAGAAGGAAGCAAACTTAAAAGACTCTGGTTTTACCTATTCTGAGAAAAATGCAACTGCTTCAAATCTGGCATCTGCCTTGAAAAGGGAGAATCCCCAGATGGAAGGTAAAGCTGACTCTTCTCTACTACCATCCCTGCAGGAAAAACACGTAGTTTTTGCAGATGGGATATCTGAAACAAATCACCTCACAGGGCACCAGGAAGCTCCTCTTTCTGGTGAAACCGCCCCTCTAAGATGGGACTGCAGTGTTGAACTTGTCACAGGAAAAACACAAGGCAAAAATTGTGCGGATGGGAGGGAGGATGACACAAAATTACCTGAAGAAGAGAAAGTAACACTGGTGGGAACTTCCTTCTCTCAAAAAGTAGGAGATACGGAAAATCACAAATATGACATTCTCCAGAAAAGCACCGTAGCAACCTTTTCATTGACAGATATTTCTTCTGCAGTCTGCTCTGCTGTTCCTGCTTTACACTCCACCTCAGCACTGCAGGACAGTGACATTTCTCGTCTTATAGATGAAGTTTCTTTAATTAACGCGAGTGAGATGGACAGCTCTGTCTCAGCACTGGTAGGGCAGGTTGATGTCACAGGCGACCAAACTAATCTCACCGTGGTCTCCAGTCTGCACGGAACCAGCAACCAGAGCCCGAGTGTGGTGGCTGCACAGCCGCATGTGAACACTCCGTGTAGGAGCAGCCTGGCTGCCAGGAGATCCCCTCTTTTCTCAACTCCGGATACCGCTGTGTTCTCCAGCCCGGAGACTACTGAGTATCCCATGCACACGATTATCCATGAGGCATCTCTTGCACCAGCTTCGGAATGTAACACCCACAGTGAATTAGTTTGCACAGAAAGGCTAGGCAGCATAGGAAATAACTTGCCGTATTCTGCTTGTACTAAACCTCTCTCTTTGCTAAATGCAAATCCCAAAACAAAGTGTGGCACAAGTTGGGAAGCCCTGGAATCTGCCGGTTCTTTTGCTTCCAATAGCCTGGTCTTTGAGGACACGCTTGTTGACCCTCCCACTTGTGAAAACTCAGAAAGCAGCAGCCTCGTAGAAGTAGACGGGGATTCTCAAGATCTGCTGGTAACGGCGTGCGAATACAGAAGAGAAGACATGAGCCAGATGGCTTCTCCTTTGAAACTAAGGCAGAAGCAGGAGCCAGGCCACGGTGGCGAGAGGTGCTCTGGCTGTAACACAGCTGTGGAGGAGCTCTGTGCTGCTGCCCTGGATTGCTCAAATCACTTCAGGACTGTGAGGTGTCAGTTCCCCTTCCCAACGTATGGAAACGCTGCCTTTTTACATGGTTATCGTCAGACTTCAGACACACAGAAAGATGAATCGTGTACGTCCCGGGGGTCCCAGCTTCATGGACACGCGCCTGGACCAAAGAACACTTTGCCCTTCCCGCCTCCTGCAGCCGTCAGACAGACTAGCCCTTGCAAATCCAAGAGTCTGGGTGACTTGACGTCTGAGGATATTTCCTGCAATTTTGAAAGTAAGTATCAGTACATAAGCAGAAGCTTTATCACGTCTGGCATGAGAGACAAGAAACTTGCTGCCATGAAGAACATGAGACCACATTCTACAGACGCTCTGACAGAGCAGCTGCGGAAATTGGTATCCCTGGACCAGGACGAGAGCTGTCCCGCACTGTATCCCGGGCAGGTGGAGGACGACTGCCCCAAGGCGCTGGTCAGGAAGCTGTCGTCCCGCAGCCAGAGCCGCGTGCGGAACATAGCCAGCCGTGCCAAGGAGAGGCAGGAGGCCAGCAGGCACCGGCGGGGCCCCCCGCGGAG